TCATAAAAGAGTTGCTGCTAGCAGCACATTAATTTTTCCCAGCAAAGCTTCCTCTGCCCTTTAAGGTTTGCCAACTAAACACTATTAATATTTCTCTACCAATGCCTCTTTCACCTATTCTTCCCAGTCTCCTATCATTTTCTTTACAAAAACACAAATATAAATCTTATTGCCCTCTAGTTTTCCATATCCCGCTTTTAAAGTCTCCAATATGAATAAGAGACATTGAAAACATTTTACTACTTAAAAAGATAATTTATTATTAAAAAATACTGTTTGGGGGAGCCTGGGTGGCTTGGTCAGTTCAACAACTCTTGATTTTGACATAATCTCAAGGTTTTGTGTGTTCGAGACCCTTGTCAGGGTCTGTGCTGACTCTGCAGAGACTGCTTGGGATTCCCTCTTTCTCTGCCCCTCCTCAGATCATGCTCTCTCTGTTACCCTCAAAATAAATAAATAAGCTTCAAAAATACCATGTAGCAGTGTGCCTGGGTGGCTCAGGTGATTAAGTGTCTGTCTCTTGATTTAGGCTCAGGTCATGACTCATGACCTTATTTGTGAGAATGAGCTCCACATAGGGCTTTGCAATGACAGCATGGAGCCTCCTTGAGATTCTCTCTCTTCCCCTCTCTCTGTTCCTCCCCAGTCATGTGCTCTCTCTCAAAATAAATAAATAAACATTAAAACAATTAATAAATAAATAAATTCACTGAAGCTCACAAAAATAATAAAAATACCATTTAGGATGTTAAATTAACAGTACTGGAAATTTGAGATTTAAAAAAAAATATTTATTTATTTTTTTTTTGAGGGAGAGAGAGAGAGCACGTGTACATGCACACACACATGCACATGCATGTGCTCAGTAGGAGAGGGGCAGAGAGAGAATCCCAAGCAGGCTCTTTGATGTCAGCTCAGAGCCCAACATACGGACTTGATCTCACAAAACCTGAGATTACAACCTGAGCCAAAATCAAGAGTCAGACACTTAACTGACAGGGCCATGCAGGCACCCTAGTATTTGGAATTTGAAAACAAATACAGATCCTTTCCTCAACGTAGGGTAATACATTTCAAATAGATTAAAGTTTATGTTTCAAATAAAGAAGAGGGGCGCCTGGGTGACTCCGTTGAGGTCCAAACTCTTGATTTCAGCTCAGGTCATGATTCCAAGGTTGTGGGATCAAGCCCCACATTGGATTCCACTCTGAGCATGGTACCTGCTTGGAAATCTCTCTACCTCTCTCTCTCTCTGCTCCTCCCCTGCTTGCGCTCACATACACATACACACACACTCTCTCAAAATAAATATATAAACTTTAAGGAAAAAGAAACTTTGAAAGAATCTTTAAAAGTACAACCTTAGAGTGGATAAGGCCTTCCTAAACTATGAAAGAAATAAAAGTTTGATAGTTTTCCTATGTAATATTTTAAAACTTCTATAAGTAAAAATAGATCACACCACCATATAAATATCTAAAACATATGACAAACTCAGAAACAATATTTGGAACAGAGGTAAAAGAGTAAATATCCTTAATAGTTAAGAGTTAATAGAAATCAGTAACAAAATTAGAAACACTTCAATAGAAAAATGGTATAGGATTGACCATGAATCAGAAAAGCAAAAATAAATAATACAAACGGCGACTGCACATAATTTTTCAATGTTCATCCTTATCTGCAATCCAAGAAATATAAAACAAAACAACGGTTTGATGCCAAGCCTTTTTTTCCTGATAAAATAATCAAAGATTGTTTTTAAAACAATAATATCCAGTGTTGGGCAGTTTAGGAAAATGATTTCTAAAATGCTGTTAGTGGGAATATACATTCACAGATTATATCTGAAGGACAATCTGACAATGTTTCAAAGGCTAAAATATATTTATACCTGAACAATGAATTCTATTCCCATTCATTTAACATAAGAGCATAATTACAGAGAGCAAAGTTTTAGCAGCAAAAGTTGTTAATGCTGTGGTATCTTAAGGGATCAAAAGCTAAGACACAGTCAAAATTATTCAACAGTGGGAAGCCAATTAAGTACACAGTGACAAATCTACTGAGTGTTTTAGAAGATATTTAATATTCAAAACACGTTGAAAATGACAACAAAGCATCGTAAGTCATATCATACCATTTTGTTATATACACGTGTCTATATAAACATAGAAAACTGAAAATATATGTATTTCAAAATATTAACAGTGGTAGTTTGAATATTATAAGTTTTTAAATTTTCTTATTTTTATTTATCTGTGTTTTAAAATTTTCATGCTTTAATATGTACTACAAAAAACAAATATGATTATTGCATCATATCTGAAAAAAACTTATCTTCTTTCCTTTATTCCATACTCATCTAAGATATTGCTGTGGGTGCCTGGGTGGTTCAGTCAGTTAAGCATCTGACTCTTGATTTTGGCTCAGGTCATGATCTCAGGGTTTGTGAGATCAAACCCCTATCTCAGGCTCTACACTGGCAGCATGGAGACTGCTTGGGCTTTTCTCTCTCCTCTCTTTCTGCCTCGGCCCTGCTTTCTCTCTCTCTCTCTCTCTCTCTCTCTGTCTCTCTCTCTCTCAAAATAAATAAATAAATAATCTTAAAAAAGTATTATTGAATTCAGTACTCTTTCAATGATTGTTATCTCTAGAATACCAAGGTCTACTGAGAATTTTATGATATACAACTATTTGAAGAATTGAGATTTTCTTTTTCAGTCTCAATTCAAAGGAATAAAAAAGAAATTAAAAAGGAAATAAGGAAAATATGGATTAATAAAGAGTAATATTTTAAGCTCTTTATATCTTTAGCTCTTTCTGAAAAGAATCGTTGGCCTACATTTTCTTTTTTCATATTCCCTTTCTTTTTCTAATTCCATTCTCTTACTTCCAAACTTAAAAAAGTTATTACATAACTTTTATAAAGTTAATAAATAACTTAAGTTTATTTCTTTATTTTGAGAGAGAGGTATGCACAAGAGAGCACACAAGAGAGAGTAAGCAAGGGCACGCAGAGGAGCTGGGGAGGGGCAGAGAGAGAGGAAGAGAGGAAGAGAGAGCCAATCCCAAGTAGGCTCTGTGCTGTCAGTACTGAGCCCAATGCAGGGGCTCAATCTCAAGAAACCTCGACCTGAGCCAAAATCAAAGTCAAACATTTAACTAAGTGAGCCACTCAGGTGCCTCAATGAATAACTTAGAATTACAAAAGGAAAGGAAACTTAATTTTAATTATGTATGTTAATTTGAATTTCAATTATCCTTAACTATATATATTATATAGATTACATAATATAATTATATATATTACAGATTGATCTATATTATATATATAAGATAGATAGACACATAGATACATAGATACATAGGTCGATAGATAAACAACTCCAGTGTAATATCTACACCCATAATACATTGGATGGGATGACAAACCACTGAAATCTCAAGCAGTGTTCAAATAGCATTTAAGCCTAAACAAATAAAAAAGCTGAAGCCAAAATAGAACAGATGTGACCAGGACCACTCAGATGTTGTAAATCAAATGCCAAACATAATACTTAAAATCCTGAGTGTCAGGAAATTAACTTGATGGGTTGAGATGCACAATTATATGAAAATAATGTTGAAAGTTATCAGAAACATGGGAAGGAACACAATTTTGCCCATGATTTTTAAGCAATTTTTATAGTTAGTATAGTTTTCCCACTTCTTTTGAGTTAAATTTATAACAATAATTGGCAGAAGAGAGAAAATTTTTTAAAAAATCAAATGTCTTTAGGTTCATCTGGGTGGCTCAGTCGGTTAAGCATATGATCTCGGCTCAGGTCATGATTTCACAACTCGTAGGTTCAAGCCCTGCATCAGGCTCTGTGCTGACAGCCTGCTTTGGATTCTGTGTGTCCCTCTCTCTCTGCCCCTTCCCCACTCACATGCTGTTTCTCCCTCTCTCTCAAAAATAAGTAAACATTAAAAAATATATATCTTCGGGGCAACTGGGTAGCTTTGTCTTTTCTCATGTAATCGTTGCCTTTTTTTTTTTTTAATTTTTAAGAAGTAATCTCTGTACCCAATGTGGAGCTTGAACTCATGACCCTGAGACCAAAAGTTGCATGCTCTACTGGGGCACTTGAATGGCTCAGTCAGTTAAGCAACCGAATCTCAATTTCAGCTAAAGTCATGATCTCAGGATTCGTGGGTTTAAGCCCTGCATTAGGTTCTGTGCTGGGATTCTCTCTCTGCCTCTCTCTTCGCCCCTCTCCTACTTGCACTCTTTCACTTTCTCTCTCTCTCTCTCAAAATAAATAAACATTCAAAAAAGAGTCTTGGGCCAGCTGGTTGGTTCAGTTGGTTGAGCATCTGACTTAGGCTCAGGTCATAATCTCACTGTTCATGCGTTTCAGCCCTGCATCAGGCTCACTGCTGTCAAGGCAGAGCCCACTTGGGATCCTCTGTCCCTGGCTCTTTCTGCCCCTCCCTGACTCAAGTGCACAGTTGTGTGAACATGCTCTTTCCCTCTCTCTCTCTCAAAAATAAACATTTGAGAACAAAAGTCTTTAGGCCTTTAGGATAAATATCTGGTAAAGACAGGACTGCACACCAATCTAATGTGTTTTATTGCATTTAAGATACCATTATTCTATTTACCATTAAGAAAGATAAAAATGTTGATTATTATTGTAACTAACACTATTAATTGAAAGATGAATCTCAACTTCCAAGATCTTAAAAAGTGAAAAGATATGTGCCTTAGAATTGATGAAATATAATTTTTAGCACTGTGTCAGATCAACCTACTAAAGTTCCTGCCTTTAAGGGGTTAATAACTGAAACCTATAGATAAATAAAAATCTTAGCTCAGTGAAAGGGATATCAAAATCTACCTTCTGTGATGCTTTATCCCCTTTTCATAACATAGGAAGATGTTTCCAAATATGAATAGCTAATGTTTTTCTCTTTGCACTTAAAGAAAGTAATTCTTATTTCTTACTCTTACTTACTCAGGTGGGCAGGGCTCAGTGTTGCAGGCTCTTTGATTTTCAGGTGGCTTACTGTCAGGGTCACAGTAATTATTCTGGACAATAGAGCTGTCGTCCAATCTTTTACACACCGCCTCCTGTCTTTGGACACCTTGAGAAAAGGAGCACATCATTAATTGAAGAGTAGTTTACTTTCCAATTAAGTTAGGTATGCATAGCTTTCCTCTGGGGGATCAACCTCACTGGATCGCTGTTGTCTGATCTGTTCCAGAAATACTTCACTGCTTCTCTAAAAAGGAGAGAAGTCCTGGTCATTATACTGCAATTTTAGGCAAAATTATTGTTCTCATATTTAGAAACATAACTGTTTTCCACTTCAGAAAAGAAACTATTGGCAATTTTAAACAATATTACCATTTGTATATTCTTCTTCCTGCTTTCCTTAAAAAAAAGAACAAAAAACAAATCCCCTCAACTTCATTTTCCCAAAATATAATCAGATAAAATGTATGAATATACATTTCAATGCAAAATAATGGTAGCATATCTATTTAAAAATAAAATAATAGGGACAAATTTACTTTTTGATATTTTATAGGACAAATCCCATCAATTTAATCTTTGTGAGGAACACATCACATTCAGACATTTCATTCATTTTCTTCCATTTATAGATTTATTCCTCTAAAAGCCCAGAAAGTCTAGAATTTAGAGATTACAGTGGGCCTCATTTGCACTCCAATCCATTAGTCTGTTTGCTTTAATAGAGATGGCCTCCTGTTGATTATACCATATATATCAAACAGATATATATGTATATATATACTTCTTGAAACAGTAACTCAGAAGATTATTATCTCAGTCTTAAAAATTATTCTATGTGACCTGTTTGTCACAGCTAAAAATACTCTCATTATAAAATTTGTAAAATTCTAAATATGTATTTATTATTTATTGGCAAAGATATCCACCACAACTTGCTCACAGTTCACAAAATACACAGACACACAGACACACTTTTATTTGTAAACATCCCTGGTGAATAGACCTTATGCAGTCTCATTTTCTCTTTAGTGTCGAGGAATCTAAAGAAGAAAAGCTAAGTATACCAAGATACCAGAGAAAAAGTAAAACTAAAAATAATGCTGTATGTTTCAGATTATATAGAGGCCGCAGGTTACTCCCGGAATTGTAAATAAAAGCATAAACTATCCCCAACTCCCCAACCTTGTCTCTATAACCAGGTAAGCTAAATTTACCCACAAAGAGTTGTAAAAACAGCATTAGCAATATCCAGGAAACCACAGCTTCACACCTAGCCAGACCCGCATGAACCTAAGTTTTGTTTTTTGTTTTTTGTTTTTCCCAGTTGCTTTTAATAGTACCCTAAAGAAAAGACTTTAATCTCATATTAGGGAAATCAATGTGAAATAGGATCATTCACTGAAGGAAATTGTCACCTTCAGAGTCATACACCAAATGCTTCCTCCAAGATCCCTTTAAAAGTCTTGGAAATTCTGCAGGTGGAGGTGCCTCAGCCATCATGCAATGCAAACTTTTAACTAAACAAGATAGGGAAATCTATGTCTCTGATCGGGTGAATTACCAAGTCCTGTAGCCTCCATGATGGTGGTGAGCAGCTGATGAACGTATATTTTACTGTTTGCAGTGACCCAAGGCTCCTCTACTAATCTCTTTCAGTAAGTTTTATAGGTTTTCCTAAGTTTAGAGGCCTAAAACGTAGCCAAAAACTTATGGCAACATGTCTTAGAATATGTATTGTATTCATTCCCTCCTAATCCCTAGAATAGGCCAAATCTCAGTTTATGTGACAAGAGTTTGGAATTTTTTAACTATTAAACTTTAGATTTTTGAGGGAGGAATGATTCACGTCAGGCATAGCTGTGATCCATTCACAGATGTTCCGTAATATTCATCAGCTAGCTCCCCACTGTGTCATTCCAGTGGGCAGATAACTAAGTCCATGTGACCCACCTAGACAGATATCTCCACCATTAGTCATAGGGGTCAACTTCCATTTGCCACAGTTCTTCCACCCAGTTCAATATGTTGTTCCTATCAGGAAGAGCAGGGGATTATTTTTATAATTTAACATGGTTATTTTTTTTCAAAGTTATTCAAATATGATTATACTTGGAGAGGGGAGGCTCAAACCACCCACTTACATGGAGGATTTAGACAACTTTATTCAACTCTTATAATTATGTGTAATCATAATAAAATAATCTGATTTGCAACAAGGAAGTTGTCATTCAATTTAATACTTTTGTTGTTTTTCAGAAAAGAAAAAACGTTTTCAACACTACCAAATGGAACTGAGGTTACTCTGCATCCGTGCCAAAAACATCAATTCAGCTTCTACAGGTTAAGAGAAAATTCTACTTCCTTTAAATTAAGCCTAGAAATGTTGTGTGGTTATATTAGTTTTTAAAAGTAGCCTTTAATGTAAAAGAAAGGCCTCTGCAATTTGAATCACAGGTGAGATATTCATTATTATAAGTCAAATTTACATTTGATATTAAGATAAATTCTGGCCAAGTATGTTTCTTGAAAAAACTAAAACATTAATTGTTGAAAATTTGGGGAAAAAAAAAACCAAACCACAAACAACAAAATAAAAAAAATATCCACAGTCTCATCACTTTGTTCTGGATCTTTATTTTTAAGGCTATTTTGCACTTTGGTGGGGCCCAGTAATTAGTTTAAAATTGCGTAGTATACAAACTAAACATGCCAGCTAAATGTGGTTGACAAGTCATACATTCATGCATTCATTCACTCACTCATTCAACAGAGAATAGTTACTAAGTATAAGGAACTGTGCTTCTAAATTGAACTAAGTGCTAAGAATTACAAATTGACTTAATTTTGGTCATGCCTTTCAGACTTCTTAAAACCAAGAATTAGGGTATTGTGGGGCTCACTTCAGTTTAATAAGTTCAGAACACTATTTTTTATGAAGTAAAAATTAAAGCCCTTGGATAAACAGCTAAAATTACTCTTTATTTCATGAAGATGCATTTTTCCTTGCATTTATCTTTTATTAATTTTCTTCTAAAATGTTCTATTAGAAAGTGTGGTACTTCACACTCAAGAACTGATTATATCAGCAATCTATTCCAAATCTTCTGACTATGCTAAACTATCTTCCTCCAGTAGCATAAAAATCCCCTTCCAACCTTTAACCTCACACTTGGCAGGTTCATAGATTTTTTTTTTTTTTTTTAATCAGTAGCAATAGGATAACTCTAAACCCAATGTGCCTAATTTAGGATGGATGTTGAAACACATACTTTGGGACTAAGGGAAATGTAGGTTTTAGGTGTAGAAAATAGAAAATACAAATCAAGTGGAAATAATCTAAACAAAGTCAACAAGAAAAATGATTGAGTTTAGGCTTTTTTATATGATCAAGGCCCTTAGACATAGCTTCTTTTAAGGTAATCTGTAAAGTGGGGTGCCTGGGCAGCTCAGTTGATTAAGCATCCCACTTTGGCTCAGGTCATGATCTTACGTTCTGTGAGTTTGAGCCTCGTGTCAGGCTCTGTGCTGACAGCTCAGAGACTCGAGCCTGCTTCAGGTTCTGTGTTTCCCTCAGAGCCCTACCCCACTCATTCTATCTTTCTCCCTCTCTCAAAAATAAATAAATATTAAAAAAATTTTTTTAAAGTAATCTTGGGGTGCCTGGGTGGCTCAGTCAGTTAAGCATCCGACTTTGGTTCAGGTTATGATCTTGTGGTTCATGGATTCAAGCCCCGCGTTGGGCTCTGTGCTGACAGCTAGCTCAGAGCCTAGAGCCTGTTTCAGATTCTGTGTCTCCCTCTCTCTCTAACTCTCCCCTGCTCATGCTGTCTCTCTCTCAGAAATAAATTTTAAAAAAATTAAAAAAATAAAAAATAATCTGTAAAACACTACTAAGAAGTTTAGTTAAATCCTGTTGAAATAATTACATTGAGTTACACAAAGTTACTGTGTTTTCAAATCTGAAGACTTATAGTTTATAACCAAAAACATAAAATGTCCACCAGACTAGTCAGTATATGCACAATCAAAAACAAACTTCTAGTGACTTAGTGTCCATATCCCCTGGAGTATGCAGATGATCTGCAGAACTTAATTGGTCAAATTTAAAACTACACCAATTGTATTTTATTTTTAAAGATCTAGAGTTACTGGCTTGCAAATTCTATACCAATTTTTAATTTAATGTCACCTATCTTCTATGCTTAAAAAATCACAAAGATGCCATTTCCAATACATGTTTACTTGAAACTCTCTAAAATGGGTGTATACTATGTAGAGATTTTTATTTTGCTTATCAAAGAGTCAAATATCATGGTTCTTTTTTTAAAATTTTTTACTTATTTTTGAGACAGAGAGAGAGAACAGGGGAGGGGGACAGAGGATCCAAAGTGGACTCTGTGCTGAAAGCAGCGAGCCTGATGTGGGGCTAGAACTCACGAAACAGGGGATCATGAAGTTGGAAACTCAACCAACTGAGACACCCAGGCATCCCCAAAATATGATGGTTCTTAGCATCAAACCATAAGCTTTAATTTTAGGCTGTAAATTTAAATTTATCAGGTCTTATATTTAATATTTAATTTTCAGCTGATAGTTAAAAATTGCAAATTATCTATTTTCCTATCAAAGATTCTCTTGTCCAGTAAGAGGATTACCCAAATTAATCACTGCTCTAGTTGTATATCAGGAAATGGCTTTTAGTACTTTGAAATAGCATATGCCCCAGGAAAGTGATCAAGAAGTTCAGTAAGCTGCAAGTGAATTCTGGATGGAATTTTTTATTCACTGTGCTTACTCTAGGAGATGTTGACAGTTCAACTGAAGAACACAGGGTCCTGGGCTTAGCAGCTACATTCCTAGGACCAATCCTGAGTGAAGGCTCCAGAAACCATAGTGCCTCTCAATTTCCTCACCTCCTTTTCCTTCCCTTCTCTATTCCACTTATAAGTTGCTCAATGTTCTCATATCCTATCTATTTCTTATTTCAGAGAATTAAACAACTTTGTAAACTCATTTGTAACAATATTTGGAAATATACTGCCTTTCATAGAACAGTTGATTGTTTTAAAAGTAGAGAAGTGGGCATTCAATGCACAGCAATTACTG